CCCACGGGCCCAGCCGTCACCTGGAGTTCTTTTTGCAAAACCGCCCAGTACAGCACGTGGGATGCGTGGTGCGCAGGGCTTCGGGCGCGCTTCGAGCCGGTTGCGGCTTCTATTTCAGCGCGTCAGAGACTGCGTACTTGGCGACAACTCGGGTCGGTCCAAGACTACACGAGCGGTTTTCTCGCATTATGCGAGCAAGTCGGCTACATGCACGAAGCGGAGCGGGTGGACCGTTACGTCGGGGGGCAGAAGCCGGATATCTCGCATGAAATCATGCTACGCGGGCTCTCGAATTTCAACGAGATCCTCGCGCTCGCCGAGAAGATCGATATCCTATGCCGACCGAGACCGGGGTTCTACTACGGACAACGTCCTCGGGGACCGGCCGAGCACGCCACTGTACACGCAGTTGCAGCGAATGCAGCTGCCGCGCCATTTAAGGGGCGCTGCTTTGCTTGCAACAGGCCGGGCCATCGCAAGAGCGAATGGCCAAAGGAGCTGAGGCGTCGCGGAGCAGAGCAGGGGAGGGAGTCTCAGAGGCAGGGAAATGCCAGCAGTCAGTAGAAATCGGGCCAACTACTGACGAGACAACCTGCTCGCCCAACCTCAACGACCCTCACTGAGTCATAGTATCGATTCACGCTATCGATCGGGCTCGGATGAATAAGGAGGGTACAGCGACGGATTGCCCAGTACTGATTCATGGGAAAATATAGGGAGCAGCAGTGAAGATTTTTATAGACGGAGGAGCAAGTCACAGCTTAGTTAATACCGCAACCGCACGGAAGCTGCAACTGACACTACAGTAAGTTGGTGTTTACCGGAGATAGATGCACGCTTAGTCTGTCGGAATATAATTACTTGCATTATATTATAACAGCATGTAGTGTAGACTTCATGTAGTTCTAAACTTGTTTGGTGGTGCACCTCTCTTTCGATTGCATATATGTTTCCAACTTTCTATAGTGAACCCATCCTTTCTCGACTTTCACCCTTGCCTCAACTCTCTCGACACCCATGCCTAGCCTCAACCCTAGCATGGCTCCTACCCCCTCCTAGCTACTATCTTAACATGGTATTAGAGTGGTTACGACCCAATGGGCCCACCGTATTTTAATCATCGCATGGCGTCCGCCTCGCTGGCGCCTGTCGTTTTTTTTTCTGCCCGTCGCACGCCCCGGGCGTGTGGCGGTTTCTGCTCGTCGCACGCCCCGGGCGTGGGGCGGTTTCTGTCCGTCGCATGCCCCGGGCATGCGTCGGTTTCTGCCCGTCGCGCGCCCCCAGCACGCGACGGTGCTCTGCTCGTCGCTCGCCCCCAGCGTGCGACGGTTTTCTGCCCGTCGCGCGGGGGCCCCGCTGTTTTGCTTCCTGTCGTCCCCGCCGCCCACTTCCTTCTCCCTCTCCTTCACGTGCAGCATTTTGGGCGGGGGGAAGGGGGGGGAGGGTGTTGGGGGGACGCAATGGGGTGTTGGGGGGAGGTTGCACTTCCAGCGCCCTGCTGCTCTGCTTTGTCACCAAGCCAGCAGCCCCCCCCCCCCCCCTTCTCCTCCATCCCCCTGCTGCGCGTGCAGCAGTGGGGGGAGGGTATGGGGGTGGCGGGTGTGGCGCACGACGGGTGTGGGGGGGAGGGTACGGGGGAGCTTGGAGGTTAAGGGGGTGGCAGGAACGGATCTGCAGCACCAGCCCCCAGCCCCCCCCTTCTCCTCCATCCCCCTGCTGCGGGTGCAGCAGTGGGGGGGGGGGGGGGGGGTATGGGGGTGGCGGGATCTTGGAGGGTAAGGGGGTGGCAGGAACGGATCTGCAGCACCAGCCCCCCTGCCCCCCCCCCTTCTCCTCCATCCCCTTGCTGCGGGTGCAGCAGTGGGGGGGAGGGGATCTGCAGCACCAGCCCCCCCGCCCCCCCTTCTCCTCCATCCCCCTGCTGCGGGTGCAGCAGTGGGGGGAGGGTATGGGGGTGGCGGGTGTGAGTGAACTGCTGCCGCCTATCCTCCTCTCTCTCCCACTACTACACATACCGCTGGGGGGGGGGGGGGGGGGAGGGTGTGGGGAGATGAGGGAGTGGCGTTAGGGATGCGGAGGGGTGTGAAAGGGAGGTTGAAGGGGGGTGGACGCAGTGAAGCCAGCAGCTCCAGTCGCCCGTGAGACCGTTGCGCCAGTTTCCTGTGAGCCCATTGCTCCTGTCGCCCGTGAGTCAGTTGCTCCTGCCGCTCGCTTAGCCGCGGAGCCAGTTACTCCAATTGCCCGTGTGCCAGTTGCTCCATTTGCCAGTGTGCCAGTTGCTCCAGTTGCCCGTGTGCCAGCAGCTTCAGCCGCCACCCACCACCTCCTCTCCTCTCATTGTCCCTCCTCCTCTTCACTTGCCCTCTCCTTCCTCCGCTGCACCTGATGTACCCCTTCAGGGGGTGTTCCGCACATGGTTCTTCACTGCAGGCGGTTAGGGGGTGTGTCGGAATATAATTACTTGCATTATATTATAACTGCCTGTAGTGTAGACTTAATGTAGTTCTAAACTTGTTTGGTGGTGCACCTCTCTTTCCTTTGCATATATGTTTCCAACTTTCTTTAGTGAACCCATCCTTTCTCGACTTTCACCCTTGCCTCAACTCTCTCGACACCATGCCTAGCCTCAACCCTAGCATGGCTCCTACCCCCTCCTAGCTACTATCTTAACATAGTCGACGGCACGCCGCTGGCCATACGGGAAAAGGTGGAGAGAGTAAAAGTCCGCTACGGGGGAAATTTCGGGTTTACACAGGAAATGCTTGCGACGACACTGAATGGGCACGACATTTTACTGGGACGTGATTGGCTGCGACGCTACAATCCGCGAATCGACTGGACGACGGGTAGCTGCACTGTGCGAAGTAGCGGTAACTGGGTCGAGCTACCTCGCTGGCAGTCGCCCGAGTCTTCAACGGTCCACGTCAACACCATCATAATGAAACGGGCTGTCGCCGCTGGAGCTGACATGTACGCGGTGGATATCGCATTGGTAGGAGAAGCAGAGTAGCCGAGTGATTTTCAGAAACTGCTGGCAGCGGTACCGCCCGGACAACAGGAACTGTTGAAACGGTACACGAGGATTTTTCCGGACGATTTACCAGAGGGAATGCCACCTCAGCATGCGCATGATCACCGAATAGAATTAGAGCCGGGTGCACAGCCAACTGTACAGCGACAGTTTTGAATAACACAGCCCGGGCTCGATGAACTGAGGAAGCAGCTAGATTACCTGTTAGAGAAGAAATTCATCCGACCGAGTTCATCACCGTTCACCGCACCGATACTGTTCACACCGAAAAAAGACGGAGGGTTTCGAATGTGCATCGATTACAGAGCACTGAACAGGGTAACAGTCAAGTCGCGATATCCCATTACTCGCGCCGACGAACTGATAGATCAACTGCGAATAGCACGGGTCTTTTCAAAGATAGATTTACGGGAGGTTACCATCAGATTCGAGTAGAACTAGGTACAGGTCCTTCGAGTACATAGTGATGCCATTCGGGCTGACCAACGCACCGGCGACATTTCAGATGACCATGAACGAGGCGTTTAGGCCACTATTAGATAAATGTGTGATCGTTTATATCGTCGACATCCTAGTCTACAGTCGTGATAAGCAGCAACACTTAGCAAATCTAGAAGCAATGTTTACAGTTTTAGACGAGCACAGACTGCTGACCAAGGGTTCCAAGTGCGAGTTCTTCCAGGATTTTTGGGGCACGTTATTTCGGAGGCTGGAGTTGAGATCGACCCAAAGAAGTAGGACACAGTCAAAGCGTGGCACCCCCCGACGAACGTCACAGAGATGCAGCGTTTTTTAGGCTTTGTTAATTATGTGCGTCGGTTCGTCCCCAACATGGCACGGTTAACTGCCCCGCTGACGGATTTACTGCGGAAGGGGGTCGCTTTTACGTGGTGGGAGAAAGTGTGAGATAATTGACGAGAAAGAGTGAGGATGATTGCACTAGAAAGCATTGGGATACATATAGAAAACCCTAACAGGGTTGTACTCACTACAGAGTACCCCACTGCAGACTAGAGAAACATAATATTCTGACACACCCCCATAGTCATGGGGTATGATCAGCACAACAAGCAAAGCAAAGCAAGCTCAGGGTGGATCACAATGTCACCACACATTCTGAGCACAAGTACAAGAAGCAACAGTTTTAAGTTCACAAATGTAAGCAAAGCTAGAGGCTATCACAGAGGGCAAGTGAGGAGGAGGAGGCTGGACTAATAGGAAAGGAGAGAGGAGGCAATGGCGGAAGCTGCAAACACACGGGCAACAGGAGCAGCGCGCACTGTGGCTACCGGAGGCGCACCTCCGGACTACAGGAGTAACTGGCTCCGCGGCTAAGACGAGCGGCAGGAGCAACGGACCCACGGGCGACTGGCGCAGCGGCATCACTGGGCTATCGGAAGTGCACCTCCGGACTACTGGCACTGCTAGCAACACGACGGCTACCTCCACCCAACCTCCCTCTACTGCCGCACCCCCCATTCACACACCCCCTGCTGCACCCCTAGGTTCACTCACACTCCACCCCCTAGCACCACTCCGTCGACTCACACACACCCACCCCCCTCAGCGGCAGCTGCAGCAGTGGGAGACGGAGTAGGAGGAGGAGCAGGGGATGCCACACACCCGCCACCCCCATACCCTCCCCCACTGCTGCACCTGCAGCAGGGGATGGAGGAGAAGGGCGCCCCTGGTGCAGCCGCCCCTGGAGCAGCCGCCCCTGGTGCAGCCGCCCCTGGTGCAGCCGCCCCTGGAGCAGCCGCCCCTGGTGCAGCCGCCCCTGGAGCAGCCGCCCCTGGTGCAGCCGCCCCTGGTGTGGGAAGCTTGGAGGTCCAGGGGGAGGCAGGAGGGGATCTGCAGCACCAGGTCCCCCACCCTTCTCCTACCTCCCCCTACTGCGGGAGCAGCAGAGGGGGGGAGGGGACCTGCAGCACCTGCCCCCCCCCCCCCCCCCCCCCCCCCGCCCCTTCTCCTACCTCCCTCCTGCTGCGGGTGCAGCAGTGGGGGGGGAGGGGATCTGCGGCACCAGCCCCCCCCCCCCCTCCTCTCCGCCCTTTTCTCCTCTCCCTCCCCCTGCTGCGGGTGCAGCAGTGGGGGGGAGGGGATCTGCCATCCCCCTGGAGCGGATGCGGCAGTGGGGGGAGGGGACCTGCAGCACCTGCCTGCCCCCCCCGCCCCCCCCCCCCCCATCTCTCTGCTGCGGGTGCAGCAGTGGGGGAGGGTATGGGGGTGGCGGGTGTGGCCAACCCGCCAGCCCTGCTGCGCCCCGCGCGCCCTGCTGCCCTGTGCGCCCCGTGCGCCCTGCTGCCCTGCTGCCCTGTGCGCCCCGCGCGCCCTGCAGCCCTGTGCGCCCCGTGCGCCCTGCTGCCCTGCTGCCCTGTGCGCCCCGTGCGCCCTGCTGCCCTCTGCACGCGCCATGCACAGCACCCCCCCCCCCCCCCCCCCCCCCCCCCCCGCGACCTGAGGGGGGGGGGGGGGAGGAGTACGGGGGCCGACGCGCGGCCTCCCAGGGCGCCAGAGCAGGCGGAAGAAGGGGCGACGCGCGCCCCCCCAGGTCGCGCCCCCCCCCCCCCCGGGTCGCCACGTAAGGCGACGGGAAAAGGGGGGGGGGGGCGGTGCACGGGCCCCTGGTGCGCCACGACCGGCATGAGGGCGGGGCCTGGGTCGGGGCAGGTCCGGGACAGGGCCGGGACGGGGCCGAGGAAGGGCCGGGGCGGGCCGCGAAGGGGCCTAACGGGCCGCGAAGGGGCCGCGACAAGCCGCGATGGGGCCTAACGGGCCGAGAAAGGGCCCGGGGAAGGGCCTGGGCGGGCCGCGAAGGGGCCTAACGGGCCGCGAAGGGGCCGCGAGAAGCCGCGACGGGGCCTAACGGGCCGAGAAAGGGGGGCCGCGACGGACCTAACGGGCCGCGACAGGGTCGGGGCAGGGCCGGGGTCGGGGCAGGTCCGGGACAGGGCCGGGACGGGGCCGAGGAAGGGCCGGGGCGGGCGGCGAAGGGGCCTAACGGGCCGCGAACGGGGCCTGACGGGGCCTTACGGGGCCTGACGGGGCCGAACGGGGCCTCAAACAGGGCCTGACGGGGCAGCAAACGGGGCCTGACGGGGCCGTACGGGGCCTCAAACGGGGCCTGACGGGGCCGCGAAGGGTCAGACGGGGCCTTACGGGGCCTCAAACGGGGCCTGACGGGGCCGCGAAGGGCCTCACTAGGGGCCGCGAAGGGGCCTTACGAGGGGGGCCGCGAAAGGGGCCTTACGAGGGGGCCGCGAAGGGGCCTTACGAGGGGCCGCGAAGGGGCCTAACGAGGGGCCGCGAAGGGGGCCGTACGAGGGGCCGCGAAGGGGCCTAACGAGGGGCCGCGAAGGGCCTTACGAGGGGCCGCGAAGGGCCGTTAAGGGCAGGCGCGACGCGCGCCTAGGGTAGGAAAAATTTCAGTGGTGAACGTGGTGGGCCCTTGGAAGGATCGATATGCTCTATACCATGTGAGATAATTGACGAGAAAGAGTGAGGATGATTGCACTAGAAAGCATTGGGATACATATAGAAAACCCTAACAGGGTTGTACTCACTACAGAGTACCCCACTGCAGACTAGAGAAACATAATATTCTGACAGAAAGAGCATGCTGCCTTCTTTGCCCTGAAAAATGTTATCTGTTCACCACCTGTACTGCGCATCGCCGACCCACACCGCCCATTCGAAGTAGTTACAGACGCAAGCGACATCGCCATTGGAGCCGTCCTGCTACAGGATTTCGGCAACGGTTTACAACCCATCGCATACGAGTCACACGAAACTGCATCCGCCCGAGAAAAATTACCCGATACACGATCGCGAAATGCTCGCGATCGTACACACGTTCAAAATGTGGCGCTGTTACTTGACCGGTGCAGACGTGACAGTACGGACAGACCATAAATCACTACAGTACCTCCACGCACAGCCCCACCTCAACCTACGACAGATTCGCTGGCTCGACTTCCTCGAGTCCAATTTTCACTACACGGTCACCTACAAAAAGGGGGCATCGAACATCGCCGACGCACTAACCCGCCCCACGGCCCAAATCCACGCCATACTACTCGCCCAGACCAGCCCACAACTGACAGGACTATTCTCGCATGGCTATCAGATTGACCCATTCTTCACAGGAGGAAATTCGCAGCAGTTCGCAGCAGCAAAGGGAGTTTATTACATAAAAGCCGGCACCGACCGAATCTGGGTACCGAGCTACACGTTACTACGAGAATTACTGCTACAAGAGGCACACGACGGGGTTACCTCAGGCAATTTCGGAGTAGAAAAAACACGGCAGCAACTGCAGCGGTATTATTATTGGCTCGAAATGCTGACCGACGTGCAGCGACACGTGGCATCTTGTCCCACCTGCCAACTCATGAAATCATCACGAAAGCGGCCGGCAGGATAGTTGCAGCCGATACCACCCCCAGAGCATGCTTGGCAGCAGGTGACGATGGACTTCGTCACAGGGTTACCGGCCGGAGCAAGTGAGAACGACGCGATCCTGGTCGTTGTTGAACGGTTGACAAAAACGTGACATTTCCCAGCCTGCAAGAAATCAATCATAGCCGAAGAAACAGCCCGCCTCTTCATCTCCACCATCGTTCGACTACACGGGATACCAGCAGCGATCATCAGAGACCGCGGCACGAAATTCACCAGCAACTTCTGGCGGAACCTCTGGCAGCAGTTCGGCACGCGACTACAGTTTAGTTCTTTGTACCACCCGAAACCGACGGACAGACAGAACGGACAAATCAGACCATGGAGCAACTCATCCGAGCCACGTGCGACGATCCGACCACCTGGGAACAGCAACTGCCACTCATCGAATTCGCGTACAACAATTCGCCATCCGCCACAACCCAACAGTCACCGTTTTACTTGAACTACAGCCAAGACCCTACAGTACCCATGACCCCGAATCCCGACAACCCAGTACCAAGCGCGCAACAGTTCGCAGAAATCTTACAAGGAGCACGGACCCGAGCAACCGACGCAATTAAAAAGGCCAACGTCATTGTTAAACGCAACGCCGACCGCCACCGCATACCTGTCACTTACGAGCCCGACGACCTAATTTTACTCGACACCCAAAACCTCCGCCTGCCCATCACCCCGAAAATCCGCCCCCGATATTACGAGCCGTTTCACATCAAAAACATGATCACACCCGTCACCACCCACCTCCTCCTCCCTGCTGACTGGTACGTCAGCCCGTCATTCCACGTCAGCCTGCTTCGCCCATACGTGCCATCCACCAGCCAACTGCCTCGTAACCGCCCCACCAGCATGACACGGCCGCCGACAGAACCAATCAGCGCGCCCGAAAAAATACTGAGCCACCGAGTACGCGACCCACGGGAAGCCCGCAGGATAGAATTCCTGATCCGTTGGAAAGACCGCACGCCCACCGAAGACAACTGGGTTCCCCTTGATAGAATTGAGAACCCCCCTTTCCTAACTGAGTATATGCGCAGCCGATTTTTTTGAGATGTACACGTGCTCTCATAAGGAGGGCCTCCTTGGGGAGGGGGGTAGTGTAAGGAAAATTCATTTTCCTTACCTCGCGCCCCTGCTTACCGCGTACAAGACCATTCCCGCTATCGGCACCCAACAGTAAAACGTTACCCGCTCGCGACACTCGCCTCGACTACGACTCCCGCCACTGTTCACGATGCGACCCAATCTCACGGTTCGGTTGGTAACCCGTGCTCTGGACCTCCGCCTCGACACATCCCAACCCCGACGCTAGGTCCGTAGCGCACCCCAATTTCTCGCGTTACCGTTACCACTCTAGTTTGCTATACATTCTTCGCTCATGCCTTCGCTCATTGTACTGTTTTGCTTTGATAGTGCAATTCTCGCTCACTCTCTCAATTGCACTCGTAACACCAGCTAAACCTAAACAAGATGTAAATATAAGCAATACTTTTTGGGCGAGGGATGTCAAAATGTTGTAGTGCTTACATTGTGTAGGCTGTAGTGGGGTAGCCCATAAAGGGTAGAACCCAATTAGGGTTTGTATTTGTACCAAATTTCTGTTCAATGCATTCATTCTCGTTCAGTATTCTGACATGGTATCAGAGAAGGTCCTATTCTAGGACCGATTTTTTTAGGGCCCACCACAGAGCGCTACCCCACTAGTCGCCCTGCCCTGCCCGTCGCGTCGCCCTGCTTTCTGTCGCGTCGCCCTGCTGCCCGCGCGCCGCATTGCTGCCTGCGCGGCGCCCTGCCCTGCCCGCGCTGAGCCGCCCAGCTTCCCGCACCGCCCTGCTGAGCGCCGCCCTGCTGCTCGCGCCGCCCTGCTGCTCGCGCCACCCTGCTGCTCGCGCCGCCCTGCTGCTTGCGCCGCCCTGCTGCTTGCGCCGCCCTGCTGCGCGCAGCCCTACTGGCCGGCGCCCTGCTGCCCGCGACGCCCTGCTGTGCCCCGCCCTGCTGGCCGGCGCCCTGCTCCCCACACAGCCCTGCTACGCGCGCCCTGCTGCTCGCACCGCCCTGCTGCTGCCCGCCTTGCTGCGCACAGACCTGCTGGCCGGCGCCCTGCTGGCAGCCGCACCGCTGCCCGCACCGCCCTACCCGCGCCGCCTTGCTGCTGCCCGCCCTGCTGTGCGCCGCCCTACTGGCCACCGCCCTGCCCTGCCCTGGCTGCGCGCCACTCTTCCCTAGCCGTGCGCCGCCTCTCCCTGCCATGCGCGCTTCCCTAGTGCTCGACGCCGCCCTGCCTGCGTGCTGCCCAGCTGGTCGCGCGCCGCCCTGCTCTGCCCGCTATGGCTTCTCTAAGTGTACTCACATTCGATCATGAGGGCCGTCCGATCCAGTTCGATACGTGGCTCGACGACTTACAGCTGTACCTACTGAGCGATTCTAGAGACAGCGTTTCGTTGTTTGACCACACATCTGGAGCCTCTCTCGCCCCTCCCGCCACAGCTGACAGTGTGACTCGCTCACAGTGGCTTACCTGTGACGCTGCTGCTCGCTTAGCCGTTTGCAACCACCTGCCTTTAGCCGAACGCGCTCACTTTGGCCAGCACAAGACTGCTAAGGCCCTGTACGATGCTGTAGTCGCTCGTTACTCCTCCCCTGCCATTGCTGCTCTCGACCGCCTTATACTGCCCTACCTGTTTCCCGAGCTGTCGGCCTTCGCCAAAGTCGAGGACCTAGTTACCCACCTTCGCACTAGCGACGCTCGCTACCGCGCTGCCCTCCCAGCCGAGTTCCTAGACAAGAACCCCCCCCCCCGATGTACATCACTCTCTACTTCATAGTCACCCGCCTCCCTGACTCTCTTCGCGCAGTCAGGGACCACTTTCTCGCTCTTGACCCCACAGACCTCACTGTCGTCCTGCTCGAGAAGCAACTCCTTGCAGCTGAGACTAGCATAATCACTGTAGGTGCTGCTCGTGACATTCCTCGCACACCCTTCTTTGAGGGATGTTCCCCCTCCCCCCTTGCCCCCTCCTACGCTTCTGCTGCTGCTGTTAACATCCTTGGCACTGAGGATGTCGGTCTGCTTCTGCTCTTAGTGGGAAGCGCCGCAGCAGCAAGGGCAAGGGTGGCAAGAGTGTTGGCGGTGGCAGCGGGGGTGGTGGTGGTGGGGGCAGTGGAGGCGATGAAGGTGGCAGAGGTG